GTGAAAACTGCACAATATTTTAACTAATTTAAACCATAAAAAACTACCTAAATGGATAGGACTTGCACAAGATTTTGGCTCTATATACAGTTTTCTGAGACACCTGAATATGATTCCCTTAATATTCAGAGAAAAAAACAGATCCATTATTCACACAGTTTGGAATACTATAAAAGATTTTGATTAAGTACATGAAACCCCTATTACCATCAAAGGTCAATAACCTTTGACCAGCTATTTTAAATGCATTTAGCCAACAGAAAGTGCATTGTTAAAAACAAATAGAATACTCTGCAGAAAAGCAATAACCTTTTTTTTTTTTCTGTACCTCTGTCATAGTAGAAAAAGAAAAGCCATCTATACCTTCAGGTAGATATGTTATTTAAATATAGTCATTCTTAAAAAAATATTCACAACAGATAGTTTTCTTTTGCTTTTGTAATAATCTGCTAGTGCATGAACTCTCACTATACAATAGACAAGAAAGATTATTTTGCTTTCAGATGTGTAGGATACTTAGACAGCTCTTAAAAAAAAAAAGTAGTAGTAAATATCCAGATACTGTTTTCTCAGATTAAATAACAAGGCTGATGTTCTTGAAATGCACCGTTATCCTACTGAAAGCTGAAGCCTGAGATCTTGAGGGACAAAAGGGAACACCTCTTTTTTGGAAACAAATTACACAGCGAACGTGTCACCTCCTGTCACTTGTCAAATACGGAACCAAGAAATATCTGTCACTCATTTGTAGTTTATATCTGAGTCATTTAATCCACTGGGCAACTAAATACCAAGAAAGGAAGTGAACAAAAATGTTACACTCTTCAAAGCATTAAATATTTAATTTCTGCCTAAAGGAAAAGGAGGAAAAATAAGGATCATATGCCATAATCAGAGTTTCACTGACACACTTCTACAGTAGAACATTCTACCTCTAAAAACAAAGAGAACACACTAGCAGTCATTTAAACTATTTTTAAAATGGCATTAATACAATAAAAGCTTTGCCTTAAAACATAAAGCTGATATTAATCTAAATAAAGCTTACAGAAGGTGGCAGGTGGACTTTCTCGATGATTCCAATAATCACCCTGGTTCAGAATAAAACAGTACAAACAGTGAAAAAAAAACCTTTTTACACTTCCTAATATTTTCATTTCACCTCTGGATGGAGACAGTTCCTGGAGGTAAACAATGAAAGGACAAGAGGCTACAGGTGTAAGTTGCAACAAAGAAAATTTCAACTGAATAAGAAAAAAAATGATATGAAGATGGCTCAGCACTGGAATGGGAGCCCAGAGAGATCATAGACTCTCCAACCCAGCATTGCCCTGGGTAACTTGGGCTACTCTCAGTTGGCTTTGCCCTGGCAGGACGTTGCAGCAAGTGGTCTCCCCATCCTATTTTTCAAAATTCTTAAAAGTCATAACTTTCTTTTCATAGCAAAACAAGACGACCAGTAACATGCAAAGCCAATGATATCTTGGTGCAGAACAAATTTAACAGTGTTTACCAGTGTTTTCCTAGTGGCTGGTCAAATGAATAACCCTTCTGCTCTCTAGTGACACTACTTCCTAGAACTCCACTGATGGTAATAGGAATTTAGACACCAAAGCTACTATATACGCACCTACATATGGACCTGTAAATGTAAATATCATGACCTTAAACTGAATCCCACCCTATGTAGCAGACTTCTATGTCTCAGCTAGCCATTCTGGGCTCCCTTCATAGCACTTGGAAAGAAGCATGCAGTTCAGATCATAATTCAGATGACACATTACAGATGCCTACCTTTGGAGCATCTCTTTTGCTCTAAGGAGGGTTTGCTATAGAGTGACTACCAGACACTTGATTTAGATAAATCAACCCCAATAAAGTCCTGGAGCTCAGGAGCACACTAGGCTTCTGAGTGCTCCTAGGACATGATCAAATATCATACAGTTAAGCTATTTCCGCCACTTTCCTAAATATGAAATTGGATGCTATATTTTCCCTTCCATCCTTGATTAGGCATATCTTAAATGAAGCTTATAGTTTACCAGAATTATTACCCAACACAAAGGATGCTCTTAATATACAGAGGATATGTACCTCAACTTGTTTTCTCTTAGGTAAGTAAAGTCTGCTTATTACTTTCTTCAGTCAATAATTAGTTTCAGTATACAGTGTAACATCAGTTACATAACATAATGTAACATCAGAGAAAGCTCATTTCTGTACAGGAAAAGAGAATATTTTAATGAAATACACAGAATTTCATGTAGACTTCAGTAGTATAATCCCCATACAATGTCCTGATGAGCTATATTCCATAACAACAATAAAGTATATATGAAAGCTTTCAGGCAGTTGCTAGAGGATTAACTTTACTTTACACTTGTGATACTCCTGTGCCCTAACAGATCATTTACAAACAGAACTCAAAGAACTAACTTCAGTAAATAAGTAAAAATATATTAAAATATATAAATCATTAAATGCATCTAAGGCTATTGTTATCACCTATGGCTCCAGGCCTTCCACAGAGTAAATGAGGTTATCTTTGACAATGAAGAGGGAGTTCACTCACTAAGGTCTGTAGTGCAGTTAAACAGATACAGTGAACTACCACAGTGATGAAATCTATAAGAAACTATAAACACAGAAGATTTCTAAGAACTTTAATGTCCCCAATTAACAAAGTTTTCTGTAGCATCAAAGCTACTTGTTCCAATCTTACTTTGTTTCATCAACGTAAATCAATAGCTTCTTGTTTTCTTTTAGCTGAGCCATAAGGCACTTGATTTTATTTTTCTCTGTTAACTCTGCACTTAGAGCCAATGATTAGAGTCTAATCTATTTTACACAGCAATCTCTTCTTAATGTTGTAAACCAGGCTGTACAACTGAATGGAGAATATTGAGGGAACCTTTTAGTTATGCAGGGAAGCACAGAGAATGGGGAAAAGTGTCTTACACATTGTATTTAAAGGGTGAGACTATATATAGGTGGGTGTTTCACAACACTACAGGCTGAAGATCGTATTTACTATAGGATCAGCTAATGCTCTTGTACAAGATTTTTGGCAATGACATTGCTCTGTGTTGGGGTATGCATATGCAGACAGCTTTATTTCCTTCAAGGATTCTCTCCTCCATTACTATTAACCATGGTAGGCTATACAAATATTTCAGAAGATACTAATTAAATTTTAAAAACTAAGTGCTAAATAAGGGTACTCTGAGCTGCCTATTGTTACAAGAAGAATAGTAACAGACCAAGCAAAGTTGATTGGCATTTTGTCATCGATCACCCAAAGGCCAGGATTTCACGCAGTACTGCAATTACAGGGTAGGATTGATCTACCCTAACAGTCTAAAACTAAGACTGATAAACTACTACTTGTCAACTTCAGTTCTTATTAGTCAGCAGAAAGAAACAGTCCTGGAAGTCAGTTCTCCTCACCTAGCCAGGTTAGGAAGAGCTGAAACGATACATGCATTTCCTATTTCTCTCTATTGACCAAAAGAAAAGGTCTGGATGATTAGCTCAGGCTTAGCTATCTAAAGTTAGTGAAGGTAGATCTCACCTTCATCATGTTTAGGTTTTTTTCCTTGGAAACTTCCCACATTCACAGAATCATTGTTTAATGAGGAACGGTGCCTCTCCTATCTACTGGAAAAGAGCTAACACTGATAACATTAGAGTCATAAAAATCCGCTATTCCATGTAAGTTCCTTCAATGTAGACACTTTGCCAAGAAACTAGTAAATCTTTTTTTTTCTTTTCTTTTTTTTCCAAATCTATTTCATTTTGCAACCAAACAAAAAGAGAGATAAACCAAGGAAAGAAGAAGCATTTTCTGATAGATCTGCATTGATAATTGCAAGTAAGCAGACTACATCTTGTATGCTACATGCTTGTTGTACACTACATGTTAAATACCACATCAGCCAAAGTATTTGGAGCATTTAGACTCCAAATATCTGCATTTTGCAAGGCAATCAAGTTTTTAGAAGGTAATACCTGTCTTGCCATTAGAAAAATCCAAAACCAGAGTTCCTGAGCTGGGAAGACATTGCCAGGCATCAAGGAAGCAAAATTATGAAATACATCTGTGTAATACACCGGATGTGCTATGGGCTAACAGTATAGGACCTGACACTGAGTGTGATTTCCTTGCCAGTCTAAGTTAACTTCTCTTTTAAGTGTTCATTAACAGGATATAACTTAACTTAGTTTATGTTAAAACAGATTTCTTGTACGGAGGCAATGTTGAAAGTACACATTTTTACATTACTGCTCATTATTTCTACTTAATACATTTTCCTCAGTGTTATGATGAGCCACATACAATGTTAAGGCAACCTATTACAATCAAAAGCATTGCTAGAAATCTCACTTCAGAACCCGTATCTAAGTTTGGAACTGGTGAATAACAAACCCTTTTTTTCAACACAGGTCCTGTCATCTATAACATATTAAGCATACTTCATAATAGAAATCTAGCTACGGTATTTTCTCAATACAAAACAAAACCAATACTAATATTTTGAATAAGTGCTAACATTTCATATACATTTCCATTCAGATGATTTGCAGAGATTTATTTATTTAACAGTCATATATTTAACTGGAAAAAATATACTCTGAGGCTATACATAACTCACATGTGAAGTGAAACAAAATGTGAAACCTGGTCATCACACTGTTAAATTAGTTGTTTTAAAAGCTTCTGCATTACTGCAGTTTTTCTGCTTTGAATTCTCATTCTAGCATCTCCATATGAATGGGCAAAGGCAGATCTGACAATGGCCACTGCCACTAACCTTTGTTAGTTGTTCCAATCTAAATGCACTGAAAACTTTTGTGACTCCAAATCATCTTCCTCCCCTTCATCTCCAAACTAATATAGTTCCACTGGCTTCAGTGCTGACTTACGTCAAATCAATATCCATCCTTTTCGTTTTTATGTCATGTTCAATAAAAATATTCCAGAAGCTGAAGAGCTGACTTACCATTTTCTTCCAAGTACATCAGAAGGATGCTGCTAGATTCAGTCCCTTCTATGGCATAATCAAGTGCAATGTTTCCATTAACGTCTTGCAGCAGCACATTTGCTCCAGCCTACAGACAAGAATTAAAAACATTTTAGGATTTTGCAGTGAAATCTCAAAACACTGCTGGGGTTCTTACACATTCCCATTCAAAAACATTTCAAAGCCGAGGTTCTTAGACAGCAGGCTGATTATAACCTGAACCAAACCAAACCAAACCAAAACACACAAAAAAGCAAAGACAAAATAAAGGACACTTGAATGTCAGAAAGGGCTGGCTTTGCTTGGGACAGCTGACGCTGTTGCCATCCTAGCTGTCCAGCCTGCCTTTACTGCACAGATGTCTGAGCTGCTCATCAGTGAGTTTTGGAACCACCGCCATTTTCAGCACAGCATTTTCAAGTAAAGTAAGCTGTCACCAATCACAGTCTGCTTTAAAACACTACACAGTAAACAGCAGTGGTTCAAAAGCTGACTGACAAGCAGCACAGACACTCATGCAGTAGGGATGGGTAGACAGCTGGTAGGGGTAACCTTGTCAGCTGGCCCAACCTCTTATGGCCTCATCCATCAATCCAACCTCAAAGAGAACCATCCCTTGCTAAATAAAATTGCCATTTGTCACCAACTGGAGACAATGAAAGTGAGCTTGATGATTTCAACCGTAGTCCCTAAAGGAGCCAACCTGACATTTCTATAAGTTTCATTCAAAATTCAGTATAAAGGACAGACAACTAAAATAAGCCATTAGGAGGGGGAGGGGGGGATGGAAATAGATTCATGAGAAGCTTGAAAAGAAAGCACCAGCACAGTAAGAAAACTTGTATTTTCTATATTAAATATTGTTAGTGTAAGAATTTGCACTATACAGGGCAATTTTAATTTTTTTTTTTTTTTAATAAGAAAGCTCTCATCCTTGAAAATATTATAAATGTTTGGTGGACATAAAAGTTTACATTGTAGTGAAATGTCATGTATCTTCTTTAAGAGGCCATAACTTTAATTCATTTCAAGTATTCTCTCTATGGCTTTTAACTGCAAGGAATTATGAAAAAAGAGTGAACTCTGGTAAATTTAATTACTTTTCTTACCACCTTGTATGATAAAAAGTTTAGCTAATAAAAATGAGGGGTATCAAGGCCAGCCTTTCTTAAAACCACAGCAGCAAAGGTCAACTGTAATAAGGAATTATTAATGGAAGGTATGACTGCTTCTTTCAGGAGCTTACTCTGTAAGCACTGTATCAAAGAAAAACTCATAATGGGCTCAGCTCCTGGCTCAGAGTGAAATATGACATAAAAAACTAGCAAATTCATGTGGGCTTCATGTCATCAAACTTAAGGTGTTGAAGCTGGACTGCTAGTCTAAGGTGATCTCCTGGATTCCCATCGTAGTGATGAGGGGACAGACAGGTTTCAAAGAATGACTCACCTCAGCTATCTCAAACACCTCAGATATACTAGTAGACCATATCCTATACAGCAAAATAACCTATCCTCCTACAAAGTATACTACTTTCTTTTAGGCCTGTCTCGCTGCACTGACTGTAAGGGGAACCTGGGGAACAAATTTAGATTAGATGCATATCTTTTAAATTGCTAAATGAGATTAGATGAGAGGAGTTGACTCTCATGCTTAGTGAAAAAGAATGGAAGGAGACATATAAAGAAAGAGACTTACAAGGTATAAAATGTTATATTCATTATAGTTCTATGAAAATAAATTTCTGCTTGCCTGTACTGCTAGACAAAATTAAAAAGATGATAAAAAAATCAAAAAAAGGATGGATTTGAAGTTCATAACATCTTTGCAGGATGGTTTAACAACTATTTATTCCACTTGTTCCACTACTAGGATGCATGATTTTTGTTTGTTTTGCTTTCTACTCACTGACCCATGAGAGTTTGCTGGTGATGGCAGAATCAAGGAAGTAACACATTTTTGTATCTAGCTGACTTGCATAAAATAAAAAAAGCACAAAGCTTTGAAGGTATCTATTCTTCCCTGCATGTAAATAATCTCCAGGCAATGTCAGAAGAAGGTCAGGAGGATAATAATAAAACAAACCTACATACATTTTCTTCCTTGTTGAGTTAAGAAACCAAAAGACCTTTGACATAGTAAATTCAGGAAAAGTAGGATAATTAACTTGGCCAGCAGCACACTTTTCATTCCTTCTCTAAGATGTAAAGTCACTGACAGAAGGATATGACATGGAATTACTCAGCTCCAAGTAATTCTTATTGGGTAGTTCTATATTAATTAATTTCTTAAGAAATGTTCACAATGAGCTGCTCCCAAACAGAAGTTCAGTGGAAGCTATGGCAGCAGAGGAAAGCTGTGGCAGTAGAGGTAGGAGAAGCTCTCAGAATTCAGGTAAAGAAGCAATTCTGGACAATGATGCACACTTAATAGTAGTATCTTGCTTCAAAAAGAAATATTTTGTGGTATTTAATAATAAGCATTTTTAATATGGTGTATCATCCCCACCTCCCAGTTTTGTATCATCTGTGAACTTACGGAGGGTGTGCTCTGTCCCACTGTCCAAGTCATTAATGAAGACCTTGAACAGGACCGCACCCACTATTAATCCATGGGGTACACCACTAGTGAATTGCCTCCAGCTGGACTTTGTGCTGCTGATCACAACTCTCCGGGCCTGGCTACTCAGCCAGTTTTAAATCCACCTCACTGCCTACTTACCTAACCCACACTTTGTCTATGAGAATGCCATGGGAGACAGTGTCAAAAGCCTTACTAAAATAGAGGTAAATGACATCCACTGCTCACTCCTCACCCACCAAGCTAGCCACCTCACTGGAGAAGGCTGTTTGATTTGTCAGACTTCAGCAAGTCTAATTTTAAGAACTGTACCAAATGTTTTAAGAATAGCCACAAACACTGTGATTTATAAAGTCTGTCACTGGCTATAAAACAAATTTCACGTCAGGGAATTTTACTTAATTTATTGGCCAACTAACGAACTTTTAATTACTGATTCTGCTACCGAAAAATAGAAAGAGGCAAACAAACAAACACTTAGAGAACTACACTTGGACTCCTCTCTAGACACGGCTCCTCCCCTTTCCCATTTCCAATCCCCTTGCCGCCCGCACACTACGCCTGTAGTGGGGAGTGCGGGAGATTAGGGTCAGCATATTGTGGTTCCTCTTCTTTGGTGGCTCCTTGTTTCTTCCTCCACTGCTCTGGCATGGGGTCCTTTGCTGACCACAGTACGGCCAGAGATGTAATCCCCCTGAGTCCTCTGCTCGGTCCCTGCTTGGGCAGTTCTTTCACTCCAGCCCTGCTTGCAGCCCCCCGCTGTCGGCATCATGTGGGTTATGCCCAGTACCAAACTCCAGTGTGCTTTACAAAGAAAGCCATTCTAGGTATAGAAAGGTGGGAAATTCTACTGTATTTTCCTCCCTTAGTGTATTCTACGATATCCTGCCAAAAAGATGTCTGACAGGTTGTCAATATAATGCAAACTGTACACACCAATATTTTGAAGTGCTCGTAGTATGGACATTTCTTCCTGTTCATTCTGATTACACATTTGCCTGTGATACATTGGAAATTACTTGCTGTTAAATGCGACACACTTTTCAGTTGCCAGAATTTCTTTTATTCCCAGGCACCTCTCAGCTAGTTACGGTGAGTCCTGAAAGCTGTTTTGAAATCTTGTTTTCTAATTATAATACAAACTTTCCATTTAGCTACTTGTATAAATAAAGACAAGATGGCAATCCCACAGGTGGCAGAAGGCATGGCAGAAGCTCACACAGGTAACTGGTAGGGGTCAGAGCAGAATAAATGAAAGAGAGAGGCAAACTAAACAGCAGAAAAGCAGCAGGCTCAAGCAAAAGTACAGACAGAGCATGACAAAGATGTGGAACATGTTGCAGGTAGCAAATGTCAAAAATACTGTACCCTTAGTTCAAATTCAGATGGCCAAAATTGTGCTGAAGAACTTGAGTGCTATTGTTACACATATGGCCTTGTAGGCCAAACAATAAGAAACCCAGATATGATTAGAGATGCAGATGGAATTCAGATTACCTGAATATAGTCCTACTTCGTTCTTAGGTTTCTGTTCATAGCTCTTGAAGAAAATATGAGGAATACTGTCCTCAGGCTGTTGATATTAGAGTTTCCAAATTTATATGCATACGTCGTTTATATTCAAAATGCAATTCCGTATTTACTCCATTTCAGTTCAAATGTTTTATCCACCCGCTTGAATTCTGCATGCAGTGCTCAGTGTACATGAAAAGTTACTGACTTACCCATTCTCAACACATCCTCCTTCTCAAGTCATTTCTCAATAAAAAGATAAATGTATTGCAAAACTTTATCCAATATATCCCATAAACACAAAAAATATTTTTGAGAAAAATATTTGTCTGCAATGATAAATTGCTTCTGTTTTAGAAAGACTGCAGAAGGAACATCTTTAAATATATTAAAGAATGCTCCCAAAGACACCTAGTTCAATACACAGAATGCAAAATGCAACTGAAGTGCATGCTCTGCTATGCAGAACAACATCCACACATAAAGAGAGTATATGAGTGTGAACTCTGGTGATCAATAATAACTGAGTAGACGGTGCCAGATTTGCACCCTATCCTCATATGACCAGAAATCAGAGCCTGCTGCCAAAGAGAAAATGCCTTTGGCTAGTGAAAGGATTGATAAGAGTTCCCTTCTGGTTCCAGAAGTGGTGATTCAAAAGACTTCAACTTATTTTAGGATCACTTTACTGTGCATTTTTTAATCCTGTTTTAATTTCTGCCTACTTATTTATTTGTAGAATCTCTGATATGTTTTCATTTCAGACAAACTGAGTAGCATAGCTTAATTCCACATATATGCAAAACTGGTGACCCTAAAGATTAGGTACTGAGCTCGATATAGCATGAGGTAGGTTGGATGTGAACAGTTTCACAGGACCAATCTATGTGCATACCCCCATTTTTTGCCAACATGAAGTAGTTTGAGATGACTTCCCATTCAGTGGAAGAGAGATCAACAACTTCAGATTCACTGTAAAGTACATGATACAATGTA